AGCAATCACCTAGAACACACTAGCATAGCACTGGTAACTACCCAGGACAACTAAGCAATGCACTAGCAACTAACCATAATATCCTAGCAGCCACCCAGAATATCTTAAAAAATGTTTACAGGCCCAAATACATACATACTATAAAATAGATAAAACTGAGATCTTTACTCTACAGGCAATCACTCCCATCACGTCCAATGTTTATGTCAGACCAACTGTAGTCATCTACATTAAAACATGCTGTCGGGCAGAGCTGGAAAAAAGACCCCAATGAAAAGAGCCTAGAGTTGAAACAAATGAAGACGAATCTAAAAAGACAGACAGAAAGAGAGAGGACGTGCATAACCATGAACAGCTTCTGGTGAAGCACTGGTTGCTAAGCAACAGCATCCGAGCAGCAGCTGCATTGCGACAGAGTTGAGAACACTTAGTCTGTAGTTGACCACTCTCTCCCCATTTGACATGCTTTCTACAAAGTCATGTCTTTGAACTCTACCCAGGTTTCAGAGAAGGCCTGAAATAATATATTCCTACCACAACTATGAAAAACAACTGACTCTGGCGCAGGCATACAGTGTGCAGATCATAGACTAGTGTGTGAGCTGTTGTGCTGAGTCACACTGAGCCAATGAGTGAAGAGTTGAACTCATCATGTATGGAGGAGTGTAGGAGATAGAGGGAGAAGGGATAAAGAGAGGGTGGGAATGATATAATCAGGGCAGGAGAGAGAGAGAGAGTAAGAGATCTTAGTCATTTTATATTGTGTAAGCTTTTCATCCAAAGAAAATTCCAGCACACCAAAGTTCCAAATGGTTTGTTCCACATCAACATGTCACATATACCAATAAACAAAATATAAGACAGAACATAGGTCAACGAGCTCACTTTAGAAGTAAAGATGTGGCATCAGAGAAACCTGCAGGTCTTCACCTCCTAATTGCGACGGAGCAGTGGCAAACGTCTTTTCCTATTAAACTGCAGCGACACCTGCTGGTTACAATGGGAAGCACAGGAATAATTAAGACCTTGAGACCACTATAATATATTAAACTAAATAAATAACTTTAAACTGAATTAAACTTGTCATTATTTACTTGCCTTCATGTCTTTCCAAACCCGTATGTCTGGAATCTGACTCTTCAAAAAGGTCGCTAAACCCCTTAAAAGTATCATGAATGCAGTTCATATGACCTCATGCACTAAAATCTTCTAATACATCTTTTTGTGAGAAGAACATGCCGAAATTTAAACTGTTATTCTCCAGTTAACCCTCCAGTTAACCCTGTGAATGCAGTAACCGCTGCGACCAAGTGAATCAATGAGTTAAACCTGAGAAACAGATCAGTCCAATTCAGAAATGAAACTACAAAAGTGAAACAAACGGTTCATTAATGGGGTCATGAACTAAGAGATTAAAATTCCCTTGATCTTTTATAAGAGGTCATTGTACTATAAAAACATCCTGTAAGTTTCAGAACTCAAAACTTTCTCGTTAGTCTAAAAACAGCTTATATTGAAGCCAATCTGCCAAAAAGAATTTTGGAATTTGCCACTTTATGATGTAATAGTGTGGCTAAACACCGCCTCTGCAGAAGAAGATCAACGCCTGCTTCTACATCGCTGCCTGTTTAGCCCCGCCCACCGATTTGCACACACAGTAGGTAAATAACAAGAGCGGCAAACCCAGGTCTACGCAGAAACCAAGCAATAAACTTTATTTGATGAACTTTATTTTTAATGACATTCCAGACTGCGTCAGTAAGATCTTGGTCCAATGTTCACTTAATTTTACAGCAGATTTGTTTAAAAACAATTCGACAGGATTTTCAGAAAGATTGAAACTAAAAAACAATGCTGTGCTGACTATATTGGATCGGACAGTAATGTCACACAACACAAGTGTGAGTAATTGTTTTTATTACGTTGTCACTATTGCTTTGTTATTACAGATCGTTTGATATGTACTGAGAATTTATGCGTTTTAAACCTAAAACACAGCAGCCACCATCTGTGAAGGATGTAAGCTGTCAAACATATATAACTGTTAGCCAATCATACCAGTGGGCGTTTACTTCCGAGTCTACAATCCGCCACGGCTATTCAACTACAGCATTCCAATGAGCGGGGTCAAAACAGCACAGAAAATAGCCTAATACTTCTAAATTGTGTTTTTTGATGTAAAAATTTATAAGTGGACCTGAGAGAACAGTACAAAATAATAAAAAAGGCAGTTCATGACCCCTTTAAAAAGATTTGTATGAAAAGGATTTGCTCGTTATATTTTAAGAATCCATCAAGTGAATAATGACTTTACCGGTAATTTCTGTATGATATCGCATGCCTTTATATGGCTTTAAATACAATGCAAGAGTTGTATAGGCTACTATCACATACTTTTATATGGTCCTTTTGTGTCCTTTCTGAAGCTTGAAATCTTCCGTCTATACTCATTGTATTGCAAGTAGGCCTACAGTTGTCCTTTTTTTCTCACGAACATCATACAAATGTAAAAAAACAGTAAAAAAATAAACAATATTTATTCCTTGGTTAACTGTCCCTTAAAGAAGTCATCGTTTGACAGAAAATGTTCACATACACAAAGACAATTACAGTTTTGTGTCTTCTGAAAATCATTAATCTACAGTGCAGATTTTCAGATGGCACAACTTCCTCTTTGGTGACCACTTGGGGCCTCATTTATAAAGCGTGCATATGCACAGATTTGATCTTAGAGTGTGTGCGTGCACTTAAATCCACGCCAACGCTCATATTTGTAAAAACTGCCTTTGACGTGGAAAAGTGCTTAGCGTCACGTCAGGGTCCGAGCAGACATGCATACTTTTTGGAACTTTTGGAAATGTATGCTGTTTTCTGTGCATACGTTCATTCTGTGAATCACACATACACATATTTGAGAGATTTACATTACATTTACGCTTTTATCCATAGCGACTTACAAATGAGGACAATGGGAGCAATCAAAATCAACAAAAGAGCAATGATACGCAAGTGCTATAACAAGTCTCAGTTAGCTTAACGTACTACACGTAGCAAGGTTTTTTTTAAATTATATAATAAATTTAAAAAAACAGATAGAATAGAAAAAGAATAGAGCAAGCTAGTGTTAGCTATGATGATCATGTTAGCTATGTTAGTTAGAGATGATCATAAGATCAAATATAGGATGGTTTCTGCGCAAAATTTTATGAGGCCCTCCATGGGGGTAAGTAGATAAATATCACATTTTCATTTTTGGGTGAACTATCCCTTTAACAAGACCTCAAAAAGAGACCTGCTCCTGTCAGCCCGTGTGAACAGTTGAATTACATCTCAGTGTTGGCAGGAGCGAATTCTTAGAACTCTTAATCAATAGCAAATCATAGACTTCTTCGAAGTTACTGTATCGAGTTTAATCCAGCAAAAAGCAGACGCATTTAAAAAAATGGAAAGCATAATTTCTAGAGGACAACTTTGATGTGGATTGTTTGATGAATAGGTTTACTGCGTGCCATTTGGTAGTCCACTGCCCATTACACGGGTGTCTTTACAAACCCCAGCCAGACATGGCGTGCAGAGGAGAGAATGCAACCCGACCCTTGCCCTCCCCGTTTCTGTGAAAGAGACGGAGAGCCTTAATGATGAACTGACAACATATTATAGTATCCCAGAGTCGAGGAGGAGGGAATCTCAACACTGGGTCCAGCAATAAGAGGTGAGTGACCTGGGACCTTTTCTACGAACTTACGAAACTGCCAATACAGAAAGGTATTTTGAGCCACAAGGGGGTAGAGCTGAGAATTACAGAGGCTCTGAAGGTAAATGAATAGGATGGATTTTTCTTTTTCTAAATGTCAAGTCACTAGCAGAAGACAGAAGAAGAATCTTTTAAAATTGCAGTGTTTAGGTGTCTTGGCTGCAATAAAAAAAAACAAGGTTAGTTATCTCCTTTCTTACCTTGTTTGAGCTGGATGATAAGACCAGATGTCACTTGAACACAGATTTTTTTCCATTGTGGCTAACACAAGACCATGAGAACCTTACTGTGAACTTCTAAATGTTGGCAAGTCCCAGATGTCTGGGTATATTTATAGCGCAGTGCAGTGTCTTCAAGGCAGACTCCAACCACACTGAACTCCTGCAGGTCCCTAAACATTTACCCACTGACCTGAAGCGTCCAGAACGGGGGATTGAAAACACATGGAACGTAGGTTAATACAGAATTGGTAAGAAGTGCATTACATAATACTGGTTCGATATGGCTAGTGCATTAGATTGAGATTACATCATCTTTTGCCACCTACCTCCCATCTTCCATCTCCTCCTCAATCAATGCAGCCTTTCAGTTATTAAAAAGATCTGCTGCGGATAAACTGAACCCACTAATTTTACCTGATTTCAACAGAACTCACTGCATGACAACCTGACTCTTCCTTCAGTCTTAGAGTCATGCAAGATCCCTTTCCTCAATGCCTAATCAAAAATGTAGCACATCATCATCTTAATTGCTCTAGCGAATTTATTTTTTTAAAACATGTTAGCACAATGCTTAGCAGTGTAATGCTAATACACTGCTAGGCAAGGGCTAACTAAAAACAAAAAAGATGTCATTTAAAATGCATTAACATTTTCAAGATTAATAATTAATTTAGCAACCTAAGATCTCTCACAAACTAAAATAATGGAGGTGACCTTTTCAAATATTCAAAATTTCAATCTAAATTTTTAAAAATTAGTTTTTTTCCAATACCACAAATTTGATAGATATTATTTATTTATAAACCCTGGTAGAAGCAACCTGGGGCCTGTTCCATAAAACAAGTTTACCAAATAAGCCAGGCTTGTTTCAGTTAGTCTGTCTTATTTTGAACCAAATCAACTGACAAGAAGTCAAACTAACTGAGATAAACCTGACTTATTTGGTAAACTTGTTTTATGAAACAGGCCCCAGGTGTCACAGTGTGCTAATTAAAAAAGAAATCAAGGAATACAGATTACACATACAACACTTTTATTTTTGAATATTAAGACAATGAAGCATAAGCCAAGAGCACCAAGAGTAACAGGTACTGGTGAAAGAGGGCAAGAGCACCAAGAGTAACAGGTACTGGTGAAAGAGGGCAAGAGCACCAAGAGTAACAGGTACTGGTGAAAGAGGGGCATGCTGAGCTGCAACCCTCTGCCCCCCAAAAACAGCAAACTGTAACCCAAAGTCAAACAAAATAATACAACAGAGCAACTTAGTAACAGCCTGGGAGTAGGGACCATTAACTGTACATTAGAGAGAATGAAGGAAAGATAAGAGAAAGGACATCAAGTGCGAATAGTTACATTGTACAGTACAAACCTTGGGCAGTGTATAAAAAAATAATAATAATTGAAACATAAAAGATGATGAGAGACAGTGATAACCACATCACTCCAGATAATCCATGGTGCATGTTTCAGCAAGTGTTTTGAGGGGCTAGTCCCAAGGGTCCAATAAGAAATACAGAGGCAGGTCATGGGTGGCGCACAAATCATCCCAGTTCCAAACTTCACCTTCAGCTCCTTTCTCTAAAACAAATGTGCATATAGAGCTTTACAGTAACATAGTTACCATGATGATGCGTGTGATTTATTGAATCTGAAACCGATTCAACAGAATTTAATACAAGTCAGACAGCCAGTCTTTTATTTCGGTCTAAACATTGTCAAACACAACCTCCCTATAGTTATCAAATAAAATTAAACCGAAAACCTTTCCTGTTGGTAATGTGCAAGGCTCTGCACCCAAAATAATTTTCTCTCTAATATTTTAACATAGTCTTGTTATTTTCTAAAAGAAATTCCAGCTACACCAGCTTATTGATAGGCGTATATCGTGTGAGGCCACGCGCTGCCAATCTAAGTCTTAGTATCACATCTGAGAATCATGACCTTTCAACTTGCTTTGTGATCTGTGATAAAGTCTCCATCCATACTGACTGATCACTTGAGTCAATCATACACCTGATGGTCTATAAATATTTAATAATCATGTTTAACTACATTGTTCTGATAGCAAATCCAGACCTTAAATTGGGTACTAAAATATGGGAGATTAAAAGCTTTGTGCAGGCTAATTCTTTGAGAGATTTTCAACTTTCTTGTGGCACACAACTACGCGCTTGTATAAAAACAAATAAAACGAATGCATATGTTTTTGTTGCATTTTCTTCAACAGGGAATTTTGCTTTAATTTGCTGCAACATGCAAATTATCCAGACTAGGGACCTTGAAGAAATGGTAAGAAAATTTAAGAAAAGGCACTTCTGAAAGTTAATAAATCTATACAGTGAGCCAATTAGCACCTTTGGGGTCTTAAACAAGGCCCTTTTTAACTTTGAAAATGTTTATCTTGGAACATTTTTGTAATCATTTTGTGAGAATGGTATCTAAAAAAATTTTCACCAAACTTAAACCTTTGGTCACATTAATCTATCTCTCTCATACCTTTGACACATTGCACCATGTCCATTTTTCTCATGATGTGAACACAATGATCCTAACCTAAAGACAATTTCAAAGGAGACCGACTTCCCAGACAATTCACATCAGTTTTCACAAGGGTCACCATTAGAGCTAAGCCCAAGAACATTATTGCATTTCTTTACAGTTGCTAATATTAAAAATATTTCATTTAAATCTGTATCAATATATATATATATATAGATAGATATATTTTTTAATCCATTACGTCTTTAGTAAAACTAGGGAAAACTGGGGGAGAGAGAAGAGGCACCAGGACCCCATCTCTGCCCCCATCTGACTGAGCAAATGTTCCACCCCTGATGAAAATTGGTACACATAGGTATAGGTAGGTACACGTCAAGTTTCATGAGTTAGTGCAGTGAGGAGTGTCTGGAGCGAAGCCAAGCATGACACTTTTACAGGTGAGCGGTAAGCAGGACAGCTGGCCCCTTCAGATGCCATGTCAACCTAAAACCTGCTTCACAACCTCCATCTAAGCCAAGGCTCTGTCTAAATTGCACTAATTTCACCTACACCTTACAGAAAGAGAGGAGGTGAGGGAGAACAAACCACACAGTGGTGAGTCAGCAACGCCCCAAAGTTCCCTCCTCGGGTCTTTGAATTCTTCCCAGGATGACCCTGACATCCTTTCTTGTGCAAGGGAAAAGACTCAGCGGGATAACGTGCAGGAAGACGACTTTAAATGCATCAGAATAGACTGGATTAGTGTTGCCTGGGAGGAACGGATAACACAAAACTTTTCATGTCAGCAGAAGTCTCTTGCGGTTGACAGGGAGGTCAGGGGCAGTGCAACACAATCACACAAGCACACAACGCTGGTTATAGTTGCACGGTACCACACTGCTGTTTAGGTGTTGTGAGACTGAGCTGAGCATTCGGCAGTTCTACCTGATCTCATCAATTAAAAAGAAGTCAGAAAGATGTGGGAATCAATAGTCATATCCCTAGCAGTACACAAAATACATCATACATCAGCACCAGTCCCATGAAGAGGATGTCTCACAGCGCCATTGGCACTCTGTGCAGGAACAGTCATTGGAAAACACATCCACTGAATGCACCATATGATGAACTAAAAGCTTTAGATGTATGAAGGCACACTGCTTAAGTGTTTTTGAGACTAAACAGATGGGGCAAACAACACAAGAGTTAGAAATCTGTCTTTTCCTTTTTCCAGCATTCATCAAAAACACATGTGGCATTTGAAATCCCTCATTTTAGTCAAAGAAATTCAAGTGCGGATATGGCTGATTCTAAAGTGATAAAGAAGCTGGTCTTGGCCTAGGGGCCAATAATGTGATTATACTCTATTATTTAAATCCTGAACCGTCCTCCAAAGTTGCTTTCAAAAAAAGAATCTGATAAATGTACTACAGATCATTAAAGGGATAGTTCAACCAAAAAATGAAAATTCTGTCATTAATTGCTCACCCTCACGTTGTTTCAAACGTGTAAGACCTTTGCTCATCTTTGGAACACAAATTAAGATATTTTTGATGAAATCCGAGAGCTTTCTGACCCTGCATAGACAGCAACACAACACAAGGCCCAGAAAGGTAGTAGGGACAATGTTTAAAATAATGCATGTGACATCATCAACCTGAATTTTATGACGCTACGAGAAAACTTTTTATGCGTCAGCAGCACCACATGCGTCGTGGTACTCTTGTGAACGCACGTCGAAGACTGACAAGGAAGAGAAGAAATTGTTGAGTAAAGTCATTATTTTAGTTTTCTTTGCGCACAAAAAGTATTCTCGCAGTTTCATAAAATTACGGTTGAACCACTGATGCCACATGGACTATTTTAACGATGTCCTTACTACCTTTCTGGGCCTTGAAAGTGGTAGTTTTGTTGCTGTCTATGCAGGGTCAGAAAGCTCTCGGATTTCATCAAAAAAAATCTTAATCTGTGTTCTGAAGATGAACAGAGGTCATACGGGTTTGGAACGACATAAGGTAATAAGGACATAAGTAATCAATGACAGAATTTTCATTTTTGGGTGAACTATCCCTTTAATCAATTATTAAATCATCCCAAAATCAAGCTAAACAAGCCAGCTTGACCCAAATCCAATGGGGTAGTAGGGACAATGTTTAAAATAATGCATGTGACATCATCAACCTGAATTTTATGACGCTACGAGAAAACTTTTTATGCGTCAGCAGCACCACATGCGTCGTGGTACTCTTGTGAACGCACGTCGAAGACTGACAAGGAAGAGAAGAAATTGTTGAGTAAAGTCATTATTTTAGTTTTCTTTGCGCACAAAAAGTATTCTCGCAGTTTCATAAAATTACGGTTGAACCACTGATGCCACATGGACTATTTTAACGATGTCCTTACTACCTTTCTGGGCCTTGAAAGTGGTAGTTTTGTTGCTGTCTATGCAGGGTCAGAAAGCTCTCGGATTTCATCAAAAAAAATCTTAATCTGTGTTCTGAAGATGAACAGAGGTCATACGGGTTTGGAACGACATAAGGTAATAAGGACATAAGTAATCAATGACAGAATTTTCATTTTTGGGTGAACTATCCCTTTAATCAATTATTAAATCATCCCAAAATCAAGCTAAACAAGCCAGCTTGACCCAAATCCAATGGCACTGATGGGGTCACCTCAAAACTTACTCTGTCCTCTCTAGAACAATATGGGCTAGACAAAGTGAACGTAGAGTGTTTATTCCTATATAGGAGGGTGTTTATGCCTAAAAACAATGGTCCCAGTGTAGCAGGTTTATGTATTGCCTCTGCTTCACCCATTAACATAAGCACAGTTAAGTTAAAGTGCTCTCAACCAGCGCCCAACTTCCAGGGCACTGATAGACCATTCAAAACAATACAAAAAAAGACGATACAGAATTAGTCACCCCCCCCACCCCCCC